TTGATTTTTCCTAATGATTTCCTGTGTCAGGGAATAACGATGTTACTGAATGTCACATTTTTGTCTGAGAGAGCCAAGTTGTGAAACCTGATCTTTGTAAGTAGGTGCTTGTATTCAAATTGGAGTCCTGTTAATGGCAGACTGTGACACAGGAATGCATTAATACAGTCAGATGCAAGTAGGATCAGTGCCTGAGATTGCTGATAGGATCAGACTGTAAAGCTTTGGCTCACTGAATTTATTCTGGTTTTCAGAATAGAAGTATCCCACTGCTGAACTAGTAAGTTGGACTTCACCTTCTTTGTGAGCAGAGATCTCATGCATATATCATCAGCCAGGAATAAAGTTAATTCTTAAACTGTCTATGCTGGATTCTTACAGACTCAAACTCTGGTCACTGCACCAAATACACCCAGTTATGTTTGCCTGCATGCTCTGGATATACATCTTACTGGATTTCTTTTAGTCTTTATTCATCCATTGCTAATTCTAGAGCTAAGGCTCACCCTAGAGAATTGAAGCTAGAATCTCCAAGCTTCTCACTGTCCATCCGGAGACACAGACTTGAAGTGGACCACCATGTTTACTACAGGTGCTCCTATCTCTGCAGGAATCAGAATGTCTCCATGATAACTTGTTACTTGGATAAGATCCAGCAGTTAGATAATATGAACCCATTTCTAGTACCCATATTATTTTCCTTAACTGATGGAGTTGACCAATTCTTTCCACAAATGAGATCTGGGGAAGTCAGGCTGAGGTAACTTTGTCCTCACCTCCATACACTTCACCGGTCTGTAGTGCACCAAAGTCTTTCCCAGCAGTTTCAGTCAGCAAAGCACTGATTCCTCTGGTCTGTATTAGCTTTGACCTTGACTTCATCAGCCTCCTCCCTTCTGTTTTTTTTGTAAGGTGCTCAAAAAAGTATGGACTATTTAATTTATTTTATGTATTTTGTTAGGCGTCCCTCAGCTTCACTCAGACATAAAATCTTCAAACATAAACTCAATCACTGGCCAGTGTTCATTGCCTATTTAACCTCATAATGCATTTGAGGTCTCCCTGACTCTTCCAATGATATCACATTCAATCACATGTGCTATGTTTTCATTTGAATACTACGGCATTCTTCTAGCACCAAAATAACCAGTATTCAACTAGCTTTGTGTAAATATTTCCTTTTTGTATTAATTTGTCAGTGGTGTCTGTAGTGCCTTCCTCTTCACCACTGATTGACCAAGGGTCTGGATGAGATATTTTCCAAACTCTCTCTGTTCCCTTGTGAGCTGGCCCCTTCTCCACATATATATTCTGTACTGATCCTGTCTGGCCTGTCAGGAAGGCAAACTGTGAGTCCAACAAGACAGGGACTGTCCTGTGTTTTGAGGTAGTAAGGTCCTGATCCATGGGCACTTTAATTTTAAGTTTAACCATCAGACAGCTGCAATGTCAATAATTTGAAAGAGATTGCATTAGTGTCCAACAGAACCCATCTGTTTCTGTTATTTAGGCCAGAGTTTGAAAATGACAGTAACTGTCAAACTATTTATGGATCAGTTAAAGGAGAGAAGATTTTTTTTTCCATTCTACAAGAAAAGTGTAGACATTATTTTCACTTACATATCTAACTTTTTTTTGTTTCCAAAGCAGACAACACCTTTCAGGTCCTTGTTAAATGAGTCATATCTGATGGAGAGTACCTACATATTTCTGCATCTCGGGGTCACTGTTGGCTTCCAGTGAATTTTCTAGTAAAGTACAGGTCACTGTTAAAATCTACAGCATTTCAATCAATAATTCCAAGTTATCGGAATTGCTGTATTTTCCTGGGTGATACTGTGGACAATTATCACACAAGGTGATAAAAGGTCTGGGCAGAAAAGGATATATATATAGCGCTTTCTGATTGGGCTAATAAATCAGAAAAGTTGTTGTGGTTTGAGTTTTAAACTCAAACCTTACATGAACATCAAGAATAATTTTATAGATATTTCTGAAGAATAATTTTGGAAATAGATGCACAGTGGCTTGAAAGTGTAGTCATCAGTTCTTAGCATTTCTAAGCACCTTGTGAGCAAATTTTTAATTGATAAGTGAAATGAAAATAAGGGAGGGCTGAAGGAAGGTAGGAGTCATAAAGCAAACTACATTCATATTTAAAACAATCTAGAACACACTTTGGATCTGCTAATCTGGTCTGAGACAATTTTGGAGTAACAAAGCAGCCTCTTATGAGAATTCATTCTGCTACTCTGACAGTCTTGTTTTTTCTAGGCACTGAAAATCTGTGTCTTGCAGCATTGAGTATTCATTATACATTGCCTCAGCTCCATATTTTCCCTGAAATGACAAAAATCACCAATTAAACAAAGTGTCACATATTAGTGGTACCACCGTTCATTGAGTTTATTCTATATAATTTAAAATATTTAATATCAGAGAAAAATCAATATTTTAGCAAGAAATAAGGGAGAATAGAAAAAGATACAAAGAGCGAAAAAATCCACTTTACAAGAGGATTCACCTTGGCAGCAAGTCTTCATTTTCTGCCAGGACCTCCCAGCACTGTCATAGTTCTGTCTTTATTATTTCCTTTAAGAAGTATTGATATTTTTATGACTTATGTTATATTACTTTGTGCTGCATTATAAGCTAGAAAAGCTCGTCCCTTTATGTTCTTGCAATATAAACCTCTTCCAGCTCTGGTTGTCTCTGTAGATTGTGTCCTGCAAATATCTGCAACTAGAGAGGTGAGCAAGAGCTTCTCTCTGAAGATACCCTGGTGAAGGGCAGGTCTGTCCTCTACTAAATGCCAATTTCCTACAGGACAGTAAATTCATGTGAGTTTTGACATAGAGATGATTAGTTAATATTTTCCATTATTTTATTTCACTGTCTGAAGTAGTTGTCTTTCCATTATAATTTTGATTCTGTAGAGATGTGTATTTCCTGTCATTTGTCCTTAATTTTTACCTCCGTGTCTGTAAATTAAATACTTGTCACCTCAACTAAAAGGAGCCCAAATAAATCATGGTCCTTTGTGGGTCAGTCATAAATATGTATCTGATCTTTCTTGCACCGAGTGTTTTTATACAACACTTAACATTTACATATTTTCAATTTACTTGAAGAGAGGCAGCACCTCTCACAACAGGAGGTTTACACTTCCTCCTTGCCTCATTGCTTCATTCACCAGGTGTTCTATTACCCCATATTAGCTACAAATAAGCAAGTCTCTGAGCGGCTCTCTCCTTGCCCGCTAAGACACCTCTTATCCCTAGCAAGAATAAAGGCAGTCCCGCTGTTCCTCGCTGTTTACCCAGCCTCAGGCAGGCTGCTGAGCCAGCCTGCGGGTGACGGCGCCGCAGGACGGGGAGAGGCTGGCTGTCGGCCCGAAGGAGAGGGTGATGGCCATGCTCCCCTCGGGTACCTGCGGTGCCGCCACGGCCCCGGGGCGCGGCCGCCCCTCTGCGGAGCTGTCCAGCGTGCCTGAGCTCCCGCGCACCTTCCGCAGCCCGCGCAATTTCCCCGCCCGCCCCCGCCGCCGGGAAGCGGGCACGGGAAGCGGCTTTCCCCCTGTACCTTTCCCAGGAAAGGGGGTGCTTAGTTCGCCCCGCTGAGTTGTCAATGACGGCAAATCCCGGTATGCGGCGGGAAATGTTTGCGGTCCTGTAGGCAAACAGGAAGTATTTTCTAGGAGAGGCATCCTTCGGCCGCCCCCATCCACTCCCTTTGATCTCATCAGTTTTGAAATCCCCTTAGAAATTAGAGACTAATTAGCCTCAAAGAGAGAGTGACAACAATGCACGACAAAGGAGAAGATTAGGTTTTTGAGAAGGCAGCTCAGTGGTGATGGGCAGTCACTCCTGAGACAGCGGTGTGTACAAATCGTGTTCCAAAGAAAATCGAACAGATTCGACCTCGGTGTATCTGACGCTGCCAGGGATTGCCAGGGCCGGGCTGTTTATTTAGGGAGAGCCTATGGTGCGGGAGGGTGAAGACGCAGCCCCTCTTCCAGTCTCCCAAGACAAAAGCAAAACAATCCCCAGCGTCTGTCCTCAATGAAACCTTGATCAAAGAAAGGTATTCAGCGGTGTCGGGTGTGTGTGTTCATGTGCATGTCACGGTATTTTGCGACATGTATCCAGCGTTATCAGTGCGTGCGTTCAAGTTGATTTCCTCTGTGCTCTGCCGGGGACCGGGACGGCTCCAGCAAAGGTGTACCAAAGGCTCAGGGTGCTCTCCGCTGCCCTGAGCAGGACCAGCTTATGCTCCTCTCACGGGCAGGAGGAAGGAGTTTCAAAACAAGTGCTATGAGATTGCCTGAACCCAAATGGGATTTATGAAGCAGCCTTTTACTGGAAAGATATTTGAACTCTGGTTGAAGGGGATTTAGAGGGAATGAAGAGACGATTCCAACAGTTACTACAGGGAATGCAATATCGGGTCCCCTACAATGCTTACTTAGGCTAATGGAGGTCCTGTCATTCAGTTCCCACTGCGCTGGGATACAGAGTAAACATTCCCCGGTGACCCTCTGCATGCAGGTCCCCTCTTCAGGACATCATTAAAAGCATACATGCAGTTGCCTGACATCAGTTGTCAGGCTGGCTCCCGGGGTTCAGAGATCCCGAAAGAAAGCAGGAAAACAAGCCCAGTGGAGACCCGGCTCTGCTCCTTGGGGCTTTAAGGAGGCTGAAAATCGTTTGGTTGCGGGTGTGTAAGAAGAGACAAAAGCGCTCAGCAGGTAAGAGCGGAGGGTTTTGCCAAGAAGGAACTGTCCTTGATCGCTGTGACAGGATTAACTCGCTGGGGACTCCTCTCTCGGGAGCATCCACGCGTCCCCGAGGGGATTGCCCGTCTCCTCTCATCAGCATCACGGCGAGAAATTTTACGGCCGCTCTTTCTAGTCCTGCTAATCCTGTTATCCGGAGGGTTATAAATATTAACGTTGCTGGGGCTGGGGATGGGGAACCAAAATAAGCCCTCTCTGAAGTAAGATGTCAGCCAGCCTTTTCCCAGCCCACCAGCGCCCAGGGCTGCTGGATGAGCTGCACGGCAGAGCCCCGCAAGTGCCCTGCCCGGAGGGGCTGCTGGGCACCTCGGTACTGGATTTCGTGGCCGACCTCTCCCTGGGAAGCCCACAGGGAGCCCCCAGGGCTGGGGCGGGCCTGGGGCTCTGCGAGGTCACCACCGGGCCTCCCTTCGGGGACAGAGTCCTGTCGCTTCGGGAAGGGATGGCCCGAGGTTTGCCCCTGGCTGCTTTCGGAAATGGAGATCCCGAAGACGAAGAAGAAGAGGAAGAGGAAAGGATGCGCAGCGCTTCCCTCCTGGACAGACCTAGGAGAAAACGGGTCATCACCTACGCCCAGCGCCAGGCTGCCAACATACGGGAGAGGAAGAGGATGTTCAACCTCAACGAGGCGTTTGATCAGCTCAGGAAGAAGGTGCCCACCTTCGCCTACGAGAAGAGGCTCTCTCGAATAGAGACTTTGCGCCTGGCCATAGTGTACATCTCCTTCATGACTGAGCTCCTGGACGGATGCAGCAGACAGGAGGCGAGCTAGGGAGCGCCCGGGCCCGGCGGGATACGGCTGCAGCCGGGCATCACCCGAGGGAGCGAGCAGGTGTCCTCGGAGCCTCCCTTCTGGAGAAACAGATCCGTAGCTCTTGCCTCGGCTTCTCACACCACAGCCAGGACCGTGTAGGTGTGGGATACAAAACCAGGAGTGTTAGGAGAAGCGTGCGCTGAGGTCGGGAGGAGTTGGGGAGAAGATGGGTGGAGAGGCTCAGTGTGTTGCAGACTTGTTAATATTTATAATTTTTTGTAAGCGGACGGTGGGAGGCGGGGATGGAGGTTCGAGGCTCCTTGGTTTGTGTTATGTTGCCTGCTTGCTTTAATATCTTTCCAATTTGTTGCTTTGGAGAAAGAATGGGCCGTGGCAGTGGAGCCCTTCCAACGTGTGGAACGGGTTTCCAGCGGGTTCGTTCCTGCCCAGCTGCCTGCCAGGGAAATCTCGGCCTGTGCATTTTAACCCAGCGCTTTCTGCCTTTTAAAAAATAAACAACAACTCCTTTTTCTTTGAAATCCAGTCTGCCAAGTCCACGCCGTGTGTCACGGGGCCAGGGAAGGCGAACATCTGGATACAACCGCTTGTTGTCACGATTTTCTTCCCGGGAGAGGCTCTGTCCTTGCGTGTGGGCGGCCAGCGCCGTCGCTCGCTCCGGGCGGGAGCTGGCGCAGGAGCGCCCGGCCCGGCCCGGCTCGGCGGGGCGAGGTGCGGCTGTCCGGGATGCCCCGCAGCCTTCCCGGCACCGGCGGGGCCAGCCTGGGAAGCTGTCTGCGCCCTCCTGAGAGAGAAAACTTGTGAGTTTGTGGGCTTTGGTTTTGGGGACGTCAAACGGAGACGTTTACTCTCTCACGGCACATTCCCTTACAAAGGCACGCACAAACACGCAAGCCACGTTTCATCTTTGCAAGGAGTAAAAAGTATGAAATACATTCTGAAAAGCCGGAGCGGGGAAGCCCGAGGAGGGCATAACCCCGGGGATGGGGATAGGGTCCACCCCGGGGATCTCTGCCTAGCGTAACCTACTGATGCCTCCGCAGGCATCCCTGAAAAGGGGCGAGCTGCCAGGAGAGCGGCAGCGGCGGGAGGTGGCCGCGACTGGGCTGGGAGCGGGGCCCGGGTCGCCCGGGTCTCCCCTAGAACCCCCTCCGACCCATCTTGCTGTACCTCTGCCCTTCCTTCCAGCTCCCTTCCCCAGTTCTCTCTGCTGCTGGCACCTTCCTTTGCTGCTGCTAGGAAAGACCTGGATTTGTCCCCGCAGAGGACGGGATGCAGCCAGCCTGCTCAGAGCCCGGTCCACTCACATTAAACTGCCCATTCAGGGCCGTGGTTCTGCATGGCTTCGTAGGACAGCTTTTATCTTCGTTAAATAAAATTACCGTGATATTAGTAAAATCAAGATTTACCCTGAATTCAGGCTAGTATAGCTAGGATCCTATGTCTCATTTCTTCTCTCATGTTTTGTCAGGTCTGTGATGATTTTTCTTTTCCTCGTTCTGTTCACTTTAATATTATCATGAGAGATCTAATATCCTGTATTAATACTCTAATATTCTGTCTCCTTTCACTTGTTTCCCTGGTTTCTTTTTCTACTTGTTTTTGTTGACCTCTCTGACTCCACACATTGCATCTGCTCTCCATTTGTCAAAATGCTTTTTTTTCCAAGAGGCAGTTGGATAGTTAGCGCAGCTGGATCCTTTCTAGGAACTGGGGGGTTTCACCTCCTCAGATGGTTTTGTGTTGTTTTGAGGTTTGTTTTCTTTCTTTTTCTTTTTTTTTTTTTTTCCTAAAAATAAAACGAGAGAAGGAACTACGTATGAACAACGTTCAAATATCAACAATAGTTCACATAACCCAATCTCATTTTAGTTACCATCATCTCAGGCAAAATGATGAAGACAAATTCTTTAAGGACAATGAAATAGGCAATTTAATATTCACTTCTTACCATTATTTCTCTATGATGCCTCCCAGTATGATTATATAACTTTTCATAATTTTTCTTGCTCATATCATTGGATAAAATTCAAACTCTATAGCACATAGAGTCTTAAGTTAAGAGATTCATAATGTAAACATGTCTGTAACAGATAATTCAAAAATTATTGGTTTTCTCTTCTTGGTTTAATAACAAAACACTGGAATTTGTTCAAGATCCAAGTTGGTTTTTTTTGGGTTTTTTTTTTTTTTATACTTGTGTCAGAGACTAGAGAAAAGCAGAAAGGATATGTTACATTTTATTTTTAAATACAAATGGATCTTGCATTATCAATCCTGATTTCTAATGGATCACTGGAAATTTTGTAGCAATACAAACAGCATTAACATTCTTAAATGAGCCACTGATACTAAAAACATTAGAAATTAAAAATGCAGTTGTGGTATAAACCAATGAACAAAATATGTAAACAGCACAGAAAAAATACCAAGATGTGTTTTGAACTGCCCCTGAGACACACATTGATTTATAGGACCTTAGAACCTGATGACATGGGCTTGTTTGTTTGTTTGTTTGTTTCATGCTTTTCCAAAACTGATGAAGATTTACTAAAAAAGCAGTCTAAATGCAATTTTTTTCCAAGGAACTGTTGAAACCAAAGCATGTCCTTACACCCATGAAGAGCTCAGTGAAAGAGCAAGATGCCATACTGAGCCATCCCTTGGCCCCTGTGGATGTGTTGAAATCCTGGAAGTTTAGATTGGTAAGAATATAAGCCAATTATGGGAACATTGCAGACAAGCTTCTTGCTGGAGTTGCAATCCCATCTGGCTGAAATAACAAAACTGTGGGGTTCTTTCTCCCCTAATCCTTGTCTCAGTCCAAGATAGCTGCTTTCTAATCTGTGGAGTCGGTACAGTACAGCAGCCTGTCAGGCTTGGGAAGACAGTGAAACCCCAACCAGAACAGAGTGCAGAAGTGCTGCTAACTCCAGCAAAGCTTGGATTTCACCCACTGGAGTGAGAGGCCTTCTTCCCCTTGCTCAGAATCCCTGCTGCCACCAAAGCCGAGTCCAGCTCCTCAGTCTCCCCAAAGCACAGTGCCATTATCACCGCATTAAGAACAAAAACTGACAGTGTCAATTACTTCTGGGAAAAGATAATAAGGGGCTTTTTAAAGCCTTAGAGCTGTTTGATCATAGCTCATTTTTAGACCCTGGTCTGAGGCTGGTTTGTTTATGTTCTCTTTGGCCACTGAAGACTGACTTTTGGTAGAAATTCGAGTTCTCTTGAAGCTATCATGTTACAATTAGTATTCAGACATGTAAACCAAAAAAATAAGACTAAATGAAATCATATTTGAGAGACATTTCATAGCTTTCAAAGAAAAGTATAAATAATCAAATGATTTTGCAATCTCTAGTTAGATTGATCTTGTTTTACAGCTGCTGAACCTGAAAGGAGGTTTAAGAAAACTAGTGCTGGAAACAGAACAAAATATTATGATAGCACTACAAACTTTTGAATCCACTCTCAGATCAGCTACTATGGCCCCATGATTAGTGTTTATTATCGCATTTGTCAGCATTTCATTATAAACACTCAAGTGCAGAGGGTTTATAACTCAGCTATAAAAATTCCCTCTAGGATGAAACTTGATAAGTGAAGTCTTAGCCCAACAGCACTTTTTTTTTTCTTTTACAAACTTTAAAATAAATTAGTTTTTGAAGTCACGGAGTTACTAAACAAAAGTAATGGAAAAGTGGTTTTGATTTATTTTTCAGATTGGTGAATCTTCTCAAAAAGAATTTCTATATTACCCTACTGGTCCTTTCAATTAACATGGACTTCCGGTTTTTGGTGGGCTTCTTTTTTATTTATTTTTTTAAACTTAAAAATACCTAAAATACTGAAGCTGAAAGTGTGACTGTTGTGCATGCTGAGTCCCTGTTTCCACAGGAATTTGTTGTTTTACCAGGCTTGAATGTTACTAATCTGCAACAATGACAGCCAAGATTTTCCTAGAAATACAAGAGACTAGTTACTAAGGACTACTAGTTATAACTAATATTTAGGACCAATAGTTATTAACTAATAGTTTATAGGGACTAATAGCTGTGCTGGTTACATTCTTTTTATGATACAGTAAATTGGTGCTTTTTCTAAAAATGTGCTAAATACAATCAGTTCAGATTATTTGCTCTTCAACTCTGCTCAAAAAAAAAAAAATGCTTGTTTCAAATAGTGAGATGAACACTTGTGACTGCAATATATCCAGAATAAAAGAATTGACAGAGTAAAAACATTCAACTGCAATTACCTAGAATTTTAACTTTTCAAGAAATGTAACTCAGAAATTATGTTTTAAATAGTGCTTCATCCAAATTTTGATTTTCCCCTTCTCTGTCCTAGTTTCAGTGATTACTTTTTGTCTGGCTGGCACTGAAGTTTAAGCCTTTGAATTATTCGCAGCTGCTACTCACTCTGCTGATCACCAGCTACACTCCAGTGCAGTGGTCCTTACATACCTAAAATTCCTATTTCTTCGAAGAAGTCAAAATAGGGGAGTAATTCTGTTACCTTTACTTTCCTAGTACAGTTTTCCACATTATTATGTACTTACAAGGACTGCAACATATTCAAACTGTTGTGTGCATGAAATTATCTTAATGTGGCTTTTGCTGCTCTCTAAGTCTTTAGTGTCACAATGACAGCGACACAGACCCTTTCTTCTCATGCTGAGGGGTTTTGAATGGTTCCCACACAAAGGTGTTGCACTGCAGAAGGATAGGCAACACTATTGTCACATGTGACTTTATTTCAAACAAATAATCAGGCACACTGAGATTCTAAGCCTATTTATGATTTTGTCATACCTCTGCCATAATTTCAAAAAGAGAGATAGAGAGTATCCTGTTGGTTTAACTGTCTCTCCTTAGCTCTGAAAGAAGAAGAAAGGTAATAATTTTCCCTATGAGCTCCAGCTCCATCTTCTCTTGCTCCAAGCCTTACAGGGGATCAAGGACAAGCAGTACATTTTATGATTTTCTACACAGCAA